CTCATGGTTGTTAGTATTTGGGGAAACCAAATTACATAAGTGAGTGAGTTAACCCTGACCTGATAGCTTCTCAGAAGTGGAAGTCTAGGTTAGTCCATGAAGGATGTAGTCACATGATAGCCACTGATTTCATATCGGAAGTAATAGGAAGGTATAAGACTGGCATATAATCATACATATATATCCAACCACATGGTTATTAGTATTGTGGTCTTGTATGAGTTTGGGGTGTATTGTTAGTATTATTGTGACCCCGTGTTGTGCTTTTCAAAATAACATGATTATGTGTGTTTTGAGCCCGGTCACATGGTTGTTAGTTTTATGAACCGTGGCCAAGTTCCTCAAAAGTATTATACGTGTGTTGGCTTATTTGCATTTGTTTAAAATTGATATGTAACCATATAGATTAGGTGAGAACTTGGTTACTAAGTAGTTGCACTCACCCCTCAATTCTTAATATTTTTAGGGCCTAACACATCAAATTCGAGTTGAGAAAAAACATACAGAGGCTTAGGATTGTAGAGTAATCCTTTCTGTATGCCTTTCTTTATTGTTTTTATGTATAAATGTTAATACAATTGCCAACTAGAATCATATGTCATTATTTTGCACTTCTTGCATTAGTTTGTGTACAACTTATGTATTTTTTGTCTTGGGTTAATGAGTTTTAGTTACAAACTTGTAGATAAGGTCAAAATAATTGTGTAAGTAGAAACATATCTATTTTGAAAGATTTGGAATGAAAATGATGATTTTGTGCATGAATTTCCTCCCCCTTATGTTTTGTAAAGTTTAGGGTTGAGTGATGATTTTAAGAAATATGTGTTTTTGGTTGTGTGTGGTATATTGCACAAATCCACTAGAGTACATTGAGTGTGGTCGGAGAGTCAGTGTGGGCTTTTGGCACTTGTAGTTGAGTTGGGACACTAAAGTTATGAGATTTTTGTTAAAAAATGGTGAAATAGGTTTTGGTGTCCAACTTTTTATAGAAAAAGAACTTGAGTGTGAAACTAGTGCCATTAGTTAGAGTTAGGAGAAAACTCTGTGTAAACACCGAAACTACCTCAGTTGGATATTGGACGGAGATTTAGGACTCATCAGAAGTTCACTCCCAATGCTGTTAAATGACATCAACTAATGCTGTCAAATTCGTGTAATGCATTAAGGCGCATAGCACAGAAAGGGGTGAGCTGTGGCACATATGTCACAAGCCGCGTCGTATGTCATGCTTTTAATACCAAATGCTGTTTTGAGTTTTAAAACTCTTTATTTTAGATCCCATTTGGTTTCTAAACTTTTGCTTTCTTTTTAAACTCTGATTTCAAGCATTTTTAGTGTGATGAAGGTTGAAGATATTGAATTTTGGGATCCCATTTTGTATGATTTGAAAATTCTTCTCTTTTATGTAATCTTACAACTTTGGTAATTCTTTAAGGGTTAATCCCTTCATTATCTTATTTGTGGAGTTTAATATGGTTTAGTAAGGGAGACCTTACATCATTATTCTAACACCACATCATATTGATGCTAAGAAGTATAAATCTCTAATACCGTACGTCAAACGGGCACTAAAGAAAGGATTCTCTAACATCATATTTATACAGGTACTAAGGAGAGGAATTCTCCAATGCTATACCCCGTTGGGCACTATGGAGAATATATACCATATGGACTTCTACTACTCTTTCTTATAGGTGAATTCTATCCCTTAACATGATCATGCTCACACTTATAAAAATCGTATGCTTTTATCTCTACCACATATTACTCGTATACATATAATTTCATATATTCATTATTTTTAAAACTATTTCCATACACATTATAACCATTTCGTAATATGCAATACTTTCAAAATATAGATATGCAAAGTTACATTTTTTTCTTACAAACAGTTAATTAATTAAACAAATAAAGTGAATTATTCAATTACCTCAACTTTTTTGTCACAAAAAGAGTTATTGTGGTTAAATATTTGTTCCACAAGGGTCTACACACGTAACAACACCCAATCAATATATAATCTACATGATTAAACACTAATAATCAATTATCATTTTAATTAAACCCCTTTATTACTAAATTTTGGGTACTCATTATACCTAAAAATCTCACTTTAACACCATCAACACTCCTAACACACTCCGTTAATTTCATCTAGCACTCAAACACTTAAATAATATCACTCATCCGTCCATATTATTCCCAATAGCTCAACTTTCATTTTAGGTTCATCCAAATTCTAACAAAAAATCCTAAATCACTATAAAAACCTTAAACTTAGGTTTGGAAGCTTGATTTTACTCCCTAAAGCACTAAGTAAGTAAATGGGTTTGGTTAAAATCTAAGGGGAGAGACGAAAATCAACACCAACACTACCTAAAACTACCAAAAATTAGCATAGAGATAGGAAGGGAGTGATAAGAAACTTACCTAAGAAAGAATCTTACTCAAAATGTCCTAAAAGAGCCTAAAAAATGATGCCCTAACAGAGCCAAATGCTTCCTCCATCGCTTTTCACATTTTTCTTCTCCCCTCTTATCTATCTAGAATGCACATAATGCTCAGATTAAATCAAATTTGTGTATATTTGCTACAGCCAATGGCATAATGAGGCTTAAAATGATTTAGGCCTCACTCCACCCCTAATCCGCTTTATCTCCAACTTAGCCCTATTCCAAGGCTATCTAATGACCCAATAACCTCATTAGTCAAATAAAAAATTATTAATTCATAAATCACTCATTTTGACCAATTTACCCTTCTTGAACACTTAAAATTTCAAAATTAAAAACTCAAAATGTTACAAATAATCTCTCTAGTCTCTACTTCTTTTGTTTTATTACTTTGTGTCTTGAAGAGAAAGAAGAGGAAAATAAGGAAGTTAGAGGAGGGAGAGAAGCATCATCATGTGAGGTTCAAAAAAGGAACAAAAAGTTGTGTGGCGCAGGATTGAAAGTTTCATAGGCTCATGGCTATTCCCTTTATATATATTTTTATAGATATGTTTTCGACTCTTTGCTCAATAAAATTAAAAGAATCTAGATACAGAGGTTTGCATACAAGCTGCGTTGGAGTGATAGTGTAACCAAAATTGACGAAGTAATTTAAGAGCATAAGGTAACCCAACCAATATCCAATCCATTTAGGCAAGAAATAGTGACTTAAGGTAGAGGGAGAAAGCCCTTAAAGTTGAAGAAGAAGCCAATCTTGACCTTGAGATAGTGAAGAGTTGCCCATGTTCCAAAGGTGTAAGGTGTCGGCAATGAAACAGAGCACTATGACAGTAAAGGAAACCCATCCGTCGATGAAGAGGCACATGCATATGTCCAAATGAATGAATAATAGTGGTGCCGTGGTAAGACTCTCAAACCTCGACCAACCATCCGTTGGTGAATCATTTGTTGAAGATATGGTTGACAGAGTTGAGAGAAAGAATGAACCAGACTCCAAGCATCGCATCATCTATAAGATTAGATTGTAGCATATCTCAGCATTTACCAGGATTTCTTTAGAGATGAAACTACTCTTGGGTCAAGATATGAAATGGAGAAAGTAAATCAGAGAGTAGAGTAGGAGAGGTTAAATGAACATACATGCACGGACCTTGAGATTATAATCAATTTTTTAAAACAAAATTACTCAAATGGGGTTAGTTTTGAGGTTTAAAAGAGGGAGAAGAGGGAATTTTTGGATCAATAACAAGTAGCCCAAAATGAAGCTAGCATTTTTATTTGAGCCACAGCTCTACGAACAATGAACATGGCTCTAGGAATAGTGAAATGAGTGAAGAGCCATTTTTCATATTTGACTTCCTCTATTTTATTATATATAATATATTGACACACCAAACTACATAATGCTGTTATCATTCTTATTCCTATTACCATTATCTTTTTTTTTTAATAGTTGATTTTTAAAGCATGTCATGTCAAACATGCATAAAGGTTGGTAAAATATATATTAATAAAATGATAATGGCATATAAACTGAAATAATAATAGCATAGTAACATTTGTACAATTAATTTTTCAAGCATGTTGAGAGTTTCATTATTCAATGACACCTTACATCCTCTTCCCAAAAAAAAAAGTTGTGGATTTTATATCTAATTTAATTAATGTATAGGTTATCTTTATTTTTAGAAGAATGGTTACCTTTATTTATAGGGAAAAGGAGTACTCCTATCATTCAAAAATGTAAGGTATTTTTAACCGAATCTCACTCCCTAACAAAGTAGTTACCTACTTTTCGACTAACTCTATCTTTTCATATTTATCTTTATTAAACACTCTATAATAAAAATAAAATTATTATCAATAGAGGCACTTTTGAAAAAAATGGCAATAATTAGACTTCGAAAAATTAAAAATGCCTTACATTTTTGAACACCTAACTTCTCAAAAAATAATTTATATTTTTAAACGAAGAAAGTATATTCGTAAGGATAGGCGAATGTTCATATTTGATCTATTTAAAAGAAGAAAATTGAAATTCTTCATTGAAAAGAGAAAACAAGAAGCAAAATGAAAAATACAAAGAAAGCTAGGGAGGATATATGGTAACATTTTGAGGATGCCTGTATCCTGACGAGACAAAAATAACATGGGAGAAAAAAGGAATTAATATAAAATTAAAATCCTGAACGCTTAGGAATAATTTAAATTCTTAAATTTTAAAAGGTGTATTCTAAATTTTAAATAATTAAAATTAAGATAATTTCACTTCAATTATTACATTTGGATAAATATATATTAAATTAAGACTTAATGTATAATTTTTACCAAATGAAGATAAAGAAAGGAAGAGTATAATTTGATAAAAATTATATATTAAGTTATAATTTGAAAGTTTAAATTTAACTGTTAGTGTAAATTTACTTTAATTTTATTTTTTTTAAATTTAAAATACACTTTTTTAGAAAAGTTCAAATCGTCGAAAGCCTTGCGTAGGTTCAAATTGAACGCAAGAAAAAATTCCTACCATACATGGAAGGAAAACGAAGATTATAGGAAAAATTCGTGTCAAAACTCTGCTTCCCCCTCGACTCTAATCTGGATCTAAGCATTCGAAGTGCCATTAACAGGACTCCAATTCATTTCACAGAAACATCGGCACAGGAGCCAGAGCCTCTCATCCTGCAAATTGTCACACTATTCCCAAGCCCCCAACGCCAACCAAAGGGAGATCGAATTTTTGAACGGTGGTACTCATCACTTTTGGTTCTTGTTGACACATACCAGTTAATGCGAACATTTTCTATGGTCCAATCTCTCTCGCTGTACATTCTATCCCTGCAAGATGTCCGCATCCCTGGCCTTGGGGGGTCCTTCACGCTGCGGCCGGGTTCTGGGTCCATCACTGGACAAGATAATAAAGAATGCGGCCTGGCGTAAGCACTCCCACCTCGTCTCCGCCTGCAAATCATCCCTAGACAAGCTCGAAACCCTATCTGATTCTGACTTTGCCCCATCCGATGCCCAATCTCCTCTTTCGGGTCTCTCCTACTCGGACGCAGAATATGTGCTTCAACCTCTCTTTCTTGCGCTGGACTCCGCTTACTCGAAGGTTGTTGAACCTGCTCTTGAATGTACCTTTAAATTGATCTCTCTCGGCCTTGTCCATGGCGAGATTGATCGCGCTGATAGCGGTACTACTGCGACTGATTCACAGTCCAAAATTGTCTTCAGGCTTATTGATGCCGTTTGTAAGTCTGGCGGCCTTGGGGAGGAGGCGATTGAATTGGGCGTGCTCAGAGTTTTGCTTTCAGCTGTACGATCCCCCTGCATTTTGATCCGGGCGGACTGTCTCATTCATATTGTGAGAACTTGTTATAATGTTTACCTTGGTGGGTTAAACGGTACCAATCAGATCTGTGCAAAATCGGTTCTTGCCCAGATTATGATCATTGTCTTCACAAGGGTCGAGGAAGACTCTATGGATGTCCACGTCAAAAGAGCTTCTGTCAGTCAACTTTTGGAATTCACGGACAAGAATTTGAACGAGGGGAATTCCATACTTTTTTGCCAAAACTTCATTAACGAGGTAATGGAGGCAAGTGAGGGTGTTCCTTTTCCTAATAGTAAGGCAATGTCCCTTTCATCGCCACTGGAATTGCAAAATAGCTCTGGATCAGTGTTGCAAGCAGCAGATGAATCAGGTTTTTCGAGTAATGGGGAGTTTGATAATGAAGCTGGAGTAAGTGTCAGTAAGATTAGGGAGGACGGTATTCTTCTTTTCAAAAATCTGTGCAAATTGACAATGAAATTTTCATCTCAACGACACTCTGACGATCGCATCCTCTTGAGAGGTAAAATTTTGTCATTGGAGCTCCTTAAGGTTGTGATGGATAGTACCGGCTCAATTTGGCGCGTTAATGAGAGGCAAGTGGTATTGAACTTGTAACTCACAGTTAACATTTACATTTAACAAGCTTGTGAATGACCTATATTATTAGTCTCATTTACTTTACTTAACCTTCTCTCTAGGGGCATCCTAGCCGACATCATATAGTCTATGGAATGCATCTGTAATATTGGCCGATTTCTGATAATAAGCAGGTGGATATATGTTTCAACAGTATACTTGTGTATGCATAAAGTTACTGTAGTACTGTGTGGGATTCTTAGTATTTTTAGGGTAAAGGTATATTTTTGTTCTTGAAGTATTTTTTGAGGAGCACTCAGCACCCTAAGCTATTGGTCAGAGCAATCTTGAAGGGCAAAAATGCTTCCATTTAATTACTTTAGGGGTAAAATTGCTTTGACCAATAGCTTAGGATGTTGAGCGTTCCTTGGAGAATATTTTAAGAGCAAAAATGTACATTTATCCTTTTTTTTATTGTAAAGAGTTCATTACAGCTCTAGTCTCTAGTAGCATGTATGTTGGTGATTGAAATAAAACTGAATATTCAAATGGGTCTTGTTTTACCATCAAGTCTGTAAATCTTTAATTATTTAGTTCCCAGTTGGACGCAATTTCCCAAAGAGGATTGAATTGCCACTGTTGCTTTTTCTTTTTTATTATAATTTTTACTGCCTTCTTTTTTTGATAATTTGGCATAAAACTCGTATTTACTTTAATTTGCCACAGGTTCCTTGATGCCATCAAACAATATCTTTGCTTGTCATTGTTAAAGAACAGTGCCCTGTCAGTCATGGCCATCTTTCAGCTTCAATGTTCTATTTTCATGAACTTGTTATCAAAGTTCAGGTCAGGGTTGAAAAAAGAAATTGGCATGTTTTTTCCCATGCTTATCCTCCAGGTTCTTGAGAATGTTCTGCAGCCAAGTTTTCTACAGAAAATGACTGTCCTCAACTTATTGGACAAATTAGCTCAAGATCCTCAAATTATCATTGACATTTTTGTCAACTATGACTGTGATGTGGACGCTTCGAATATATTTGAAAGGTATCATGTTTTTTATTATATTTACTTTCTTGATTATGCCTTGACGACCACCTTCAAAGAAGAATGGACATGGGTTAATACCTTGTTGTTTCAAGTTGGCATTAAGCTTGGTTGCCAAAAAAATAGGCTTGTTGATGTAGAATCATTGAATTTTAGTATTTACTTATAAGAATGGACCGGCCTTGAAGTGTGATGAACGCTAATTGACTAGCTGCTAGGAGTGTAATGGGGAATTTAGTATTTGGAAAACATTTTTTAAAGCAGCCTTTTTCTCTTCCACATCAAGGTCAAGTCATTATCTAACAGATATATTTTTTGGGAAGATTATATTGCTAATAATAGATTATCTGCAATATTTGTGAAGAATTCTGCTAGAATACATGAGGGAAAATAAAATGAAAATTGAAGAAAAGTGAAACAAACAATATCATTCAACTAGGCGGGCTAGCATACAGAAGTTAATCTTGAAAGTTGAAGTGTGTTATGAATTCGAATTTAGCAAAGGGAGTTGCAATAGAAATTGCTGTGTAACAGCCATTTCAGCATAGAGACAAGACATGAAAAAGAGTTACAGATGAGTCACTTTGTGATTTGAATTATAGAGATATCATTCAAATATCTATTGTAGGATTCCATATGAAAAAAATAATGAGAGAAGACTTCTTATTTGGAGAGTATACAAATTGATGGTTGATAAAATATTCTCAAACCAAAAGACACAACTCGACATTAAACAAAGTAAAAAGAAGGGTAAATGAGTAAATTATTCTTAAACATCAGATCAAGTAGTGCTATAGAGTTTGAACTTGTTTATTATGTAAATTGTTTCCTCAATTTTTGAAAATAGTGCAATCTAACTCTTGCTGTTAACAAAAGTTAATTTTGACTATTAATTGGCCAAAAAATGACAAAAAAAGACCTAAAATAATTATAGTAAAGTACAATTTTTTTTGTCATTTTCTGTAATTTTTTGGATCATTGTTTGCAATTTTTGGGTCCTTTATTTTATTCTTTTGCTCATTTTATATAATTTTGAGGTCTTTTTATGTCATTGTTTAGTCAACTAACAGTTAATGTTAACTTTTGTTAATAGTAAGGGTTAAATTGCATTGTTTTTAAAAGTTGAGGGAACAATTTGTATAATAAATGAGTTCAGGATCTATGGTGCTACTAAATCTAAAGTTTAGGTGATAATTTGCTCATTTACCCTAAAAAAAAAAGGCTTGTACAACTTAGAAATGTTATAAGCTGTGTAATTCATTTGCATATCATTGTTAGATATAAATACTCCCTTTAGGCCCTGTCTGGTATATTGAAATGATTTTTGATGGAATGAAAATAGGAATGATAATGGGAATAGGAATGAGGTTTAAAAATATATTTGGCATGTTAATGGAATGGTGGTATAATTTTTATTTGATATATGTAATTATAATGGTCAAAGTCCCAGTGCATGTGATGGAGACAAGACAGGCGAAAAGAGTGGGTGTGTTGCTGTCATTGTGCTCATGGAGAAGGCCTAATGGTCCATTGCATTTAGCTGAAGCTCAATGACAATGGTTCATTTGTTTTTGCCATCCCCAACTTCATCTTCCTCCTTAATAGCCCATTGATGTCAAATCTAGAAACCATTGCTTCCAAATCTGCAGCAACAACTTCTAGCGACCTCTAGCGATTTCTCAAATTCACCTTCGATAGCGATTTCGCTATGTCTTCTTGTATTCTTTACATCTTCTCCTTCACTTCATCTTCTTCTTCTACCTTCTACATCATCTCCTTCACTTCATTTCCCCTTTTTTAGTTTGTAATTTGTTGATTTTGCTAAATTGTTGGTGTTGTTGTTGATTCTAGTGGAGTGGAGTTTTTTTTTTAATTTATAGGTTATTTTTGTATTTTCCCATTTTAAATGCATATATTAATTAAAAACTAAATTAGATTTCTATACTCATCAAACATTTTTTTAAACCCCATATCCATTTCTATTTCCCTATGTATTTCCATTTTTATATCCATTTCCATTTTCATCAAAATCATTTCCACTATACCAAATTGGGCACTAGTTTTTTTAGTTGCCATAACACTATGGCCATTATTACTTCTATTGCAAGCATTGATACCCCTGCCACTATTGCTACGCTATTTTTGCCACTTCCATTTCTATTGCCACCACTACTTTTGCCATCTTTAATGTTGCCAACACCGAGTGTCATGATAATACTACTATTGTTATTAATTTCACCTTGCCACTGTCACCAGCTTTAGCACCATCATTATTCCAATTTTTGTCATCACACGACCATTTCTACCTCCATCTTTTCATCACCGTCATCACTATTGTCATCTTGTTACCATCATTATTGTAGCCATTACTGTAGGCATCACTACCACTGTAGAGCTGGTAATTCGAGCAGGTCAGGCTTATTCGAATCGGACTCAATTCGGGCCGGGCTTATTCGGATGGGCTTGAAGTATCCTACTCTTTTAAAAAAGCCCATATAGTCAAGCCCAGCCCTAACTTTTTTTGGTTGGGTTCAAGCTAGCCCGTCAGACTTGACCAAAATTATTAACTCTATTTATATAAAGATGGAAATTTCAGTAGTCAGGCTTATTTGGATCGGGCTCAAAATATCTTACCCTCTTAAAAAAGCTGATAAAGTCAAGCTTGATCCTAACTTTTTTCGGGTGAGTTTGGGCTGGCCCTTTAGGTTTGGCCTAAATTATCGACTTTATACCACCATTGTCATGTAGCACTCTTACCTTAGGTCATGTTTGGCAACACTTCCCTTAAATAATGGAATGAGAATGGGAAGTGGGCCTTCCATGAAACCAATCAGCATGTTTGGTATGAAAGGAAATAATGTTTAGAGATTCAAAACTAGAAAGTAAAAAAAAATTGATAAAAAAAGTGATAGAGAGGCTCAAATGATGTAAATACCCATTATTAACAAATCTAAAAATATGCAAGATGATCTTCATTTTAGATCCAGAACAAGAGAGAAAATTTGCTCATTCATCTTTTTAAAGGGTAAAGGTGTCTCGTTAACTTTCATTGGACGGATGTTAGTTTCCTATGTATGGCCCTATATTTTTTGATAGGTGGCACTCCCTTTATTTGACCGTTGTATGGGGGGTACTCCCTACCAGGCTACCACTCATGTGTCGAAGAAGAAGAACCAGTCAAAGGAACTCTGCTATGTAGAGTGCTGTGGCTTAATCGAGTTTATCTTCTGTCGCGACTGGTAGACAAAGATTACCAAGAAACAAGAATAGTCAACCCAGAAATCTTAATCAAGAGCAAAGAAATTGAACCTAAGTGAACATGTAGAGCGTTGATGAACACATTCAAGAAAAATCCAGAAACATGCAAAAAATAAAACCCAAAAACAATAGGACAAATGAAGAAAAATTCCCTGAACAGAGATGCTTTTGTTGGCTAGGATCATTCGGTTATGGTTGTTCCTTAACATCTTCATTTCGATCCAATCAGATCATTACATGATGAATGTGAATCTAGGCCATCAGATCCATGCGTGGCCAATGTAGGCTTCCTTTTGTTAATCAGAAAAATAAAATCAAGGAGAAATCAAATTTCACCAATGAGAAGCTGATTCGTCCACGACTTTATCAGAGAGAAATCAAAAGAAGGAGGAGGAGGAGGGGGATGCTGAGGTGGAGCGATTGGATGAGCTTGAGATAGTGCGAGGAGGAGAGAAAATGGCAAGCAAAGCACATAGTGATGGTGATCGTGAGCAACCCATGAGTAGTTTTGATGGATGATTTGAACTTGGAATCATGAGCAGGAGAGGAACCTACTATTAGCTACTATGGACAATTTGAAGCTGCATCACAAGTAGGAGAGTAAGATGCAAAAGGGAGAAGAGGGCGATGAGGATGAAGATGAGTGATTTGACACGAGAGAGAGAGAGAGAGAGAGAGAGAGAGAGAGAGAGAGAGAAGGTGGGAGGAATTCTTTGGTTGCCTTTTGGTTTTGTGCTTTTGCCACATAGACACTAGGTGGATTAATTTCACCATATGTATGGCCACTTAGATAGAGATTGGGTCAGAATATGGTCAATTAATGTCCGTCCAATGAAGGTTAATGGGAGATGCTGAATGCTTTGATTTTTAAAGTTTAGAATTTATTTCGCACCACCTTATAGTATGGGCTACTAGACATTCCTCTAAAAATGGTTGATGACCAAATTTGCACCTTTATCCTTTTTTTAAAACTACAACATGAAGAAGAATTTAACATCTAGCAATGAACAAAACAAGAACATTGAACATTTTTAAACATGAACCAAACTGTTGCAAATAAAAAAAAATTTATCAACAAACTCGTGAGCCTTCCATTACTGATTGCATATCTATACCTTTATTAGGAGTTTGATCAATTGCCTACCTTGCTTCCTCTAACTTTTCGTTACTAGTTAACCTTGTAACTAAAGAATTTCGAGAAACAACATTCCTCTCAAGCATTAGGTTAAATAACTTCCTTGCATCTTCAGTTCTTTTTAAATCTACTAACCAAGCATGACATTCACATGCAACATCTATTCCAAAAACTAGCAAGCTTCATTTGGCCTCCTAAATTGCAAATAACCCAATAACATTGCAAAGATAAAACAAGAACCAAATTGTAGATACAAAGAATGTTGAGACTTAGCGAATTTGAAACTACAAATCAAAGAACCAAGCTTCCTTTTGCATACTTAGCGTAGTACTAATGGAAGTCCCTCTCTCCCTATCTCTTTCTAGAGCTTCCTGTCTTTTGTACCTAACACAACCTTACTGCCTTCACTACTCCCTCTGCCTTGTCACCACCAACATTGAAGTCATTCTTTCTCCTTTACCTCCATTTCCCATAATATTATTGTTTTGTGGCATGAATGTATTATTGTGTAGATATATAATATGCCTTGCCACCATCAGACAAATTGTTGTGTTATTCCAAATGTAATAGATTAACTCCGCCTATGTTTATAGCCGGTCCCAAGCCCGGGTAAAGGAGGAGGGTTGTGTTAGGCCATCAACAGCCAATGTAAAAATTTGTTGAATCTATCATGAACATGGACAATAGACGTTATAATGTTAATGCTAGGTCGTTGCCCGTAAGTAACGCGCTGCATGGCTCGAGTACAGTGATAAGTGAGTTAGAGCCGCTGCATCGGCGCCCGGATGTAGTGTTAAATGAGCAAGGGCTACCGCGTCATTCTGGACGCACGCGGCTAAAGAAGTTAGTCCATAAGAGCAAAATTAGATTTGGTACTTGGAATGTTGGGACATTAAATTGTAAATCTGTAGAGGTTGTAGGGGTTATGATTCAAAGGAAAATCAATATCCTTTGCTTGCAAGAAACAAAATGGCGTGGAGAAGAAGCTAAGGATATTCAAGGTTTCAAACTTTGGTATACAGGAAAAGTAAGTGCACGCAATGGAGTAGGCATCATTATAGATAAGGAGTGGAAGAAGAACGTTGTAGAAGTTAGCAGAATTGGAGACAGAATTATTTCTTTAAAAATGATAATTGGACGTGAGACTGTTAATATTGTTAGCGCTTATGCGCCGCAAGTCGGGACAGAAGCCAGTCTTAAGGAATTATTTTGGGAGGATCTGGAGGGGTTGATTCGACACATACCACAGAGTGAAAAGATTTTTATTGGAGGAGACTTTAATGGGCATGTCGGGAGGGAAGCTGGTCAGTATGCGAGGGTGCATGGTGGTTTTGGTTTTGGAGAGCTAAACAATGAAGGGCAAACTCTTCTTGATTTCTCATTGGCGTATGATTTTAAGATTGCCAATACTTGTTTCAAGAAGAGAGATGAGCATCTCATCACCTACAAAAGTGGAGCCTCAAGGTCGCAGATTGATTTTCTTTTGGTTAGGAACACAGATAGAAAACTTTGTAAAAATTGTAAGGTGATCCCTGGAGATGCTGTAACGACACAACATAGGGTCCTAGTCCTTGATGTGTGTATTATGAGTAAAATCCAAAAACGTCGACAAGTAGTAACACCAAGGATTAGGTGGTGGCAATTAAAAGGTGAGAAGCAAGATATTTTCAAGCGAAATCTTTTGGATAAAGGAATTTGGGATTCTCAGGGAAGTGCTAACATCATATGGGAGGATATGGCTAAAAAGATACGGGAGGTTGCAAAAGTAGTTTTGGGAGAATCGAAAGGTCCTGGTCCGAGAGATAAGGAGTCTTGGTGGTGGAATAATAGTGTACAGGACAAAATCAAGTATAAGAAGAACTGTTTTAAAGCCATACATTTGTGTAACAATGAGGAAAATTGGGAGAGGTACCGTATGGCTAAGAAGGAAACTAAGAGAGCTGTGGGTGAAGCTCGTTCTAAAGCTTTTGAAGAATTTTATAAGAACCTTGAGACGAAGGAAGGAGAGCAAAATATTTATAAGATTGCCAAGAGTAGGGAAAGAAAATCAAGAGATCTAGAACAGGTAAGGTGTATTAAGGATGAAGAGGGAAGAATTTTAGTTACAGATGATGAAATTAAAAATAGATGGGAGACTTATTTTTCTAAACTTTTCAATGATGGAGAGGATTCATCTAGTAACTTGGAGGATTTAGTAACTGGTGAAGGAGAACAAAATTTGTCATTCTATCGAAACATACGTGATAAGGAGGTAAAGGAAGCTCTTAAGAAAATGGCAAATGGTAGAGCTAACGGACCTGATTGTATATCTATCGAAGCGTGGAAATGTTTAGGTGAAGAAGGGGTGAGATGGTTAACTAAGTTATTTAATGTGATTTTACGGTCCAAGAAAATGCCTGATGAGTGGAGGAGAAGTACATTAATTCCTATTTATAAAAATAAAGGAGATATTCAGAATTGTACTAACTATAGAGGGATTAAACTCATGAGCCACACAATGAAATTGTGGGAGAAAGTAATTGAGCATAGGTTGAGATTGGAGACAAGTATTTCTGAGAATCAATTTGGTTTTATGCCAGGTAGATCAACTACAGAGGCGATTTATCTACTAAGGGGATTAATGGAAAAGTATCGTTGTAAAGATAAAGATCTACACATGGTTTTTATTGATTTGGAAAAAGCTTATGACCGTATACCAAGAGAAGTGCTTTGGAAAGCGTTGGAAAAAAAGGGAGTACGGATTGCTTATATTAAAGCCATACAAGATATGTATGAGGGGGTAAAAACTAGTATAAGAACGCCTAGTGGTCAAACAAAGGATTTTCCTATAAAGATTGGGCTACATCAGGGATCATCTCTGAGTCCTTATTTGTTCAACTTGATTTTAAATGTTTTGACGGAACATATTCAAGAGGAAATCCCGAAATGTATGCTCTTCGCGGATGATATAGTTCTTATAGCAGAGACAAGAGAAGAGGTTAATTGCAAACTTGAGTTATGGAGGAGGACATTGGAGTCGAAAGGTTTTCGTCTGAGTAGAAGTAAGACGGAATATTTATATTGTAAATTTGATAAAGGACTATTCGAAAATAATTTGGAAGTAAAATTGGGAGATCAAATTATACCTCAAGTGGAAAAGTTTAGATATTTGGGAGCCATTATCCAAAATGATGGCGAAATCAGTGGAGATATTTCACATAGAATTCAAGCTGGGTGGTTTAATTGGAGAAAAGCTAAAGGAGTTATTTGTGACCGTAAGGTGCCTAATAAACTTAAAGGAAAGTTTTATCGTACTGCTATCAGACCGGCAATGTTATATAGTAGTGAATGCTGGGCTCTAACGGGACAGCAAGAGCATAAAGTTGGAGTAGCAGAGATGAGAATGTTACGATGGATGTGCGGACATACACGTAAAGATAAAATTCGAAATGAGCACATACGTGAAAAAGTGAGGGTGGCACCTATTGAGGAAAAAATGGTAGAAAATCGGTTGAGATGGTTTGGGCATGTACAAAGAAGACCAAGGGAGGCACCAGTGAGAAGAGTGGAACATATAACTTTGAGTCCGATTAAGAGAGGTAGAGGAAGGCCTAAGAGAACACTCTTGGAAGTTGTTGAACGTGATCTCTTAATTAATAATATTTCTAAAAGCTTAATAAATGATAGAGCACAATGGCGTCTTGCAATCCATGTAGCCGACCCCACCTAGTGGGATAAAGGCTTGTTGTTGTTGTTGTTGTTGTATTCCAAATGTAATAGATTGACACACATATTATATTATATAAGGCTTATCCAGCAAATAGGTGATACAATACCATCTGTTGCTACTTATGCTATCAAGTTTTATCCTGTATGGTGCAACAAATCAGGCCTAAGGATAGTAAATTTTTTTTCTTTATTAATATTCCATTGATCACTGCATCTTGTTTTAGTATTTAAACTCTTATAATTCCTTCAGATGCTTGCAGGATTGTCAATGGCCTTCTTAAAACTGCATTAGGGCCACCTGCCGGCTCAACTACAGCTTTGTCTCCAGCACAAGATATTACTTTCCGACATGAGTCTGTGAAGTGTTTGGCCAGCATCATCAAGTCAATGGGAGCATGGATGGACCAGCAAATAAGGATTGGTGATTCATATTTGCCTAAAAGCTCTGAAAGCAGTAGCATGATAGAGAATCATCTAAGTTCAAACGGAGAAGAAGGAAATGCTTCTGACCATGAGTTTCATCCTGATGTAAATCCTGAATTTTCAGATGCTGCTACTCTAGAGCAGCGTCGGGCATATAAAATTGAACTTCAGGTTGATATTATATCACATAGAGGAAGACAATTTTTTATAGAGAAAATTGGTGAAAAGGACCTTATTGAAAGGGAAATTGGTCCTGAGGACCAAATGTAATTGAAGGATTAATGCTAATATTTTATTCATTAAACCATATGAACAAATGACTGAAATACCTCTTTGTTTAAACCAACAAAATTGAAAAAAAAAAGGGCTGCATGTTTAACACATGTACTCCAAGCCAAAAACCTTGTATCCAAGCCAGAAATCTTGTACCTCAAGTTAGAAGCCTTGCACCTCAAGCTAGAAGCTAGTAATTTTAATTATCTTGGGTGTAAGGCTTCTGGCTTTGGGTGCATGTGTTGAATAGCCTGCCTTTGTTTTTTCTTTTTTCAATTTTGTTTGTTTAAATAAAGGGGTTTTTTGGTCATTTGTTCAGATTGTTTAATGAATAAAATATTAGCATTGGTCCTTCAATTGCATTTGGTATTTGGGACCAATTTTCCTTCCAACGAGGTCTTTTTCATCAATTTTCCCTTTTTTTATATGGTTGCCAATATGAAATATCATCTCATACTGCATTGAGTCGCCCCTATGAAGCATGGGTATTTCTAGATCCAAGGGGTACCGTTATTGTATATGCATCTGTATTAGGGGTACTATTTTGGTACTAAGAAAAAGAGTGCGCATCCACACCATTTTTTTTTTAAGTTAAGTTTGATTGCATATTGAGTAAGGTGTTATTATGCTTGCAAAATTTAAGTCAGAATCTCATAGATCTGAATTGAATCTTACTTTCAACAATGTTATGTGAACTTTGACATCGTATCAGATAAGGCTATCCTCCTTTCTATGTTGTAAAAATTGAGATATGTTCTTAATTTTTTAGTAACAACTATTGCTGTTTTTTATTATGGAAAGACAACTATACTTTATAGCTTTATTGATTATATACTAGTAACCTGTGCATCATAGGTATATACTACTTGGTTTTACATACCTACAGACACCTGCATTGTATCTGTAATAGTTTTTAGCCTGGCCTTATCAAGTGCACCCTCTCATCTGACTGACCTTTAAATTTGCCTCTTTATTGATGATCTTCCTGGGTTAAATGCAGAAAGGTATATCACTTTTTAATCGAAAACCTTCCAAGGGTATTGATTTTTTGACAAGCAACAAAAAATTGGAATTTCTCCAGAAGAAGTGGCTCTTTTCCTTAAGAACACTACTTCCCTTGATCAAACCAAGATTGGTGACTATTTGGGGGAAAGAGATGAATTTTCTCTCAAAGTTATGCATGCTTACGTTGACTCCTTTAATTTCAAAGGGATGGATTTTGGTGAAGCCGTAAGGTTTTTTCTTCAGGGCTTTAGGCTGCCTGGTGAGGCACAGAAGATTGATCGCATCATGGAAAAGTTTGCTGAACGTTATTGTAAATGCAATCCAAGTTCTTTTAGTAGTGCAGATACTGCCTATGTTTTGGCTTACTCTGTGATAATGCTCAATACAGATGCTCATAATAGCATGGTGAAAGATAAGGTTTGAGTGCTGAATCTATTTTAATGTTTTTGGCCTATAATTAGAACATCAGCTCTTTTTTATATATAATTTTAGCTGGTATGTCCATTCTAAAGCATGGTTCCATTCGTTTTAGTACTGATTGAAACCTGAGTATTTCATTCTATTTTAAACTACTGATGATTGGATTGGGTGGAAGGGACTTGATGCCTTTTAAGGTTGTAGGTTTGAATCTAGTTGAAAAAAATTATGTTGCGTGGGTTACCCCTGTTTTATCTAACAATACTTAAATTTGACTCATTATTACTGGATACCATATGACCATACCAATATATATAATAATTTTATTCATGCAAACATCTTATGAAGCCAACGTTATTTCTACTTGGAAATTGTCATTTGGTATCCCTGTTTTTTTCCTTATGTGGGTGGCAATACTGCTGAATTAGTATTTATGTGTTCATGAAACTCACGCATTTGTAAATGACAATGTTTGATTATCATTATTTCTAATATATAGTATAGCAGATTCAGGATATCTTATTTTCTGATTATGTTGAATGTGGGTTTGACATGGGTTTTTGGTTTACATTGTGTGTTGATGACCTTCCAGATGACAAAGGCTGATTTTATTCGAAACAACCGTGGAATAGATGATGGCAAGGATCTGCCAGAAGAATATCTCGGTGCCCTGTATGATCAAATTGTTAAAAGTGAAATCAAGATGAATGCTGATTCTTCTGCACCTCAGAGCAAACAGGCAAATAGCTTTAATAGATTGCTGGGTTTGGATGGTTTACTCAACCTTATGAACTGGCAGCAGAATGAGGATAAAGTGGTGGGTGCAAATGGCCTTCTCATCCGTCACATTCAGGAGCAGTTTAAGTCGAAGTCTGGAAAATCAGAGTAAGATAAAATATTGACCAATTTCAGGAATGTTTTTGTGGAAATGTACTCTCTTACAAAGCTAATCATACTAATTCTTTCTTTTAGAGTTTTTATGCTGTTCTTTCATATATGTGGAATTTCTATTTGATTATGCTACCATGAGTGCTTTCAATAATATTTGTGACATTGAAACAAATATTTTAGCGTGTTAAGGCTCTTCATTTTGCATATGCTACTCATTTGTGGGGATTCCAATTTTACTTGTTGCAGATCTGTCTATCATGCTGTCACAGATGTGGCAATATTGAGGTTTATGGTGGAAGTCTGCTGGGGTCCTATGCTGGCTGCTTTCAGTGTAACTCTTGACCAGAGTGATGACCGGATGGCCACTTCTGAATGCTTGCAGGGATTTCGACATGCTGTACATGTTACATCCGTGATGGGTATGCAGACTCAGAGGGATGCTTTTGTTACATCTGTTGCAAAATTTACGTATCTGCACTGTGCTGCAGATATGAAGCAGAAAAATGTTGATGCAGTCAAGGTAAACATGTTGTAGTTTTATTGCTGTTGACCTTAGGTTTGATAATTAGAGATTCTCTGAATTGAGAGATGATTTAAGAATGAATAAGATCATTTCATCTGCAACAATAATGGCTTACTGCTTACCACCATTAGCAATACTCTAGCCTTGTGCTCACACCATAGACTGGTAGTAGTTGGCAGTTTTTATATGATTAGTCTTCTGTGTGGAAGGAAAATATGAATGATACGTATTTTTCCAATGCATTTAGTGGGTGACCCATTTAATTTGATGTAAATGTCTTTTTGTCATGGTAGTGCTGTAATTGCTACATCTTTTTTCTACAGGCTATAATTTCAATTGCCATTGAAGATGGGGATTACCTTCATGAAGCATGGGAACACATATTAACATGCCTCTCCCGTATCGAGCATTTGCAACTCTTGGGTGAGGGTGTGCCGCCTGATGCATCCTTCTTTGCTTCATCTAGTGTTGAATCAGAGGAGAAAGTGTCAAAGACTTCAGGTTTTTCTTCTTTGAAGAAGAAAGGAACCCTTCAGAATCCAGCTGTGGCAGCTGTTGTTCGTGGTGGTTCATATGACAGCACAAGTGCTGGGATCAACGCTTCTGGACTTGTAACACCAGAACAGATTAATAACTTCATTTCAAACTTAAATCTGCTGGATCAGATTGGGAACCTTGAATTAAATCATGTGTTTGCTCATAGTCAAAGGTTGAACAGTGAGGCAATAGTAGCTTTTGTGAAGGCACTTTGTAAAGTTTCCATTTTGGAGTTGCAGTCTCCCACAGACCCCCGTGTATTCAGCCTCACTAAAATAGTAGAAATTGCGTAAGTTATCTTTTCTTTCCATTAAGTAGAGTTGCTCTTTTACAAAATCAGTTCTTTAGCAATATCATTCTGGCTGACATATGAAATTATTAAGTGAATGTACAGTAAGGACAGTTTTTTATGTTAAAATGGCACCCTAATATCTTTACTAATATAAATGTCACATAGTAATTCATCCACTAGGTGCTTCGGATCTTGACCATAAATACTGCTTATGTCCCCCAATGGACACTCATTCACTATCTCAATTTTGAGCTCTATTTTCCCCCTTCCTTCCTTAAACTCCAAAAACACATGTTTCTGTTGTTTTCTTTCATCTGAACTGACTTTTTAGTTAACAATGCTCATAAAAGTTTGGTTGATGATAGAGCATAATGATGTTGTGTAACCCATGTAGCTGATCTCATCTAGTGGGATGAGGTTTGTTGTTATTGGAATTGACAATCATACTCAATGGAGTGTGATAAGAGTCTTGATTCTCCGAATGATTTATGATTTGTAAAATGTGTTTAAATTATTTTTCTAAAGTTCCAATGTGGCCCCTAGGACTTTTTTCTTTTAATGTTGAAAACCCTCTAGATCAGGTCAGACGAAACTGGTTGGCGTGGCTGTCCTGACCCTACTCAAATTTTCTTTTACTAGTGCCACTTGGCTTGTCATCATTGGATCAGCTAGGTCATTGAGCTAGAAGAACACCCTTATGATGCCTGATGAAGACACGTCTCTTTTCTCAAGCTTCTCTCCAAGATCATAGTGCACAAAGGAGGCACAGCCAAAAACTTATAAAGGTAGTGTGTGCGCGGTTTGATTTGTGGGAAAGGCCTCAAGGAGCTTTTTCTAATGTGAAAAGAAATTTAACACTCTTGAAGAGATGCTACTGATTAGATAAGTGGCTGTCAACATTGCTCCTCCCCCATAGAATTTTAGAGCAATAAAGGCATAAAGATGGGACCTGGCCATCTCTAGATTGTGTTTTTTTCTTCCTTTCAACCGTCCCATTTTGTTGGGGGTGAGTTAATACTATAACTTAGGAGTAGGACACCTTGTTGGGTGAGGCAGGGCACAATGGTGGAGTTAAAAAAAGTCTCTAGCGTTGTCAATTCTGGAAATTTTGATGGGCATCGAAACTGGTTTTAATTGTATTTATGGAGATGTTGAGAGCTAGTTGCAACTTCAGATTTTCTTTGTAAAAGGCAAAACCAGGTGATTCAAGTGTGTTCATAATAACCATAACAAACTACTTTGAACGATTTAAATATAAATGACTGTTGATATGGGTGAAAGGGGTAAGAATATTTCACATGTAGGAATTTGACAGATTTCTTAATGAAGGAATGTGGTACTTTTATGGATCAAGCATACATTTTTTTTTTTTCACATGATGGTTTGAGTGGCCTAACTTGTAGCGTCACTTTGAAACGTCCTCATCATATTTGAAGCCTAGTGCCTAGGCTGGTTAGGCTATTTTCTCAATTTTTGGTGAAAACCAGAGTAAGCCCCTTGCATTTGCACTAAACCTAAGATAAACTGCACTGTTCATAGCCTTGTGAATAGCGCAATTTCTTATACTTTTTATATTGATGTATTGATTGATTGACAACTGAAAAAGATGATCAGATTCATATATGCCCTTGTGAAATTATATTTAGCCACTGAGAAAAGATTAAAAATTTTCATTTCAATTCCCTTAAAAAAATATTTTTCTTATTAGTATCACTAGACCAAAAGAGGCCTTGTACACCCGTAGGTGTTTCTGTGTGTTTTTTCCTCAGTCTGTAAGCTCTGCTAACCACACCTTTAGCCGATATTAGTAGTCATGACTATAACATGGTGTCATTTGCAGGCATTATAATATGAACCGCATCAGATTAGTGTGGTCTCGCATATGGAGTGTTCTATCAGATTTCTTTGTATCTGTTGGATTATCTGAAAACCTATCAGTTGCAATCTTTGTGATGGACTCCTTGCGGCAACTTGCAATGAAGTTTTTGGAACGTGAAGAGCTAGCTAATTACAATTTCCAGAATGAATTTTTGAGACCATTCGTGATTGTTATGAGGAAAAGCAGTTCTGCAGAAATCAGAGAATTGATAGTTCGCTGCATTTCACAAATGGTCCTTAGCAGGGTCAGTAATGTGAAATCTGGCTGGAAAAGTGTTTTTATGGTATGTTAAATTTGGCTGGCTTTGTTTTCATTTTTTCCGTGGGATTTTCATTGTTTCAAAGTTTCAACTCATTAAGCGGAAAACCCATGACTGTTATTTACAAAGGCTTAGACATGGTATTGCCTATTGTTTAATATTCTCTTCATATTCTTAACTGCTAAGAGATTTACGAGTGATTTCTGACAAATTTAGTAAAAAAGAACTCTTCATTATTTCACTATTGCAATTTACAAAAGCCAGTTGTGCTATTTATAAGAGTATATTAACATAGAGTAATAAATGCTATCTTAATCTCTAACCACCAACTAATCTACCTATTAAAGAAATAAAAATAAATTTACACAATTTAACTACACATTTTAACACTCTCCCTCAAGCTGGAGAGTGGATGTCATCCATTCCCAGCTTGGATACTAATGTATGAAAATGTTCTCTTAATAATCCCTTTGTGAGTATATCTGCCAATTGATCACCAGAAGTACAGATTAGACCACTTTCCAACTTCTCTTTGATAAAGTATCGATCAATTTCAATTTTAGCATGCCTGGTCCTATCATATTGTACAGGATTATGAACAATGTTGATAGCTGACTTGTTGTCACAGTAAAGTTTCACTGGATCTTCCCATTTGATTATCAAATCTGATAAGATTATCTTTACCTACAACAACTCACAAATTGCAAGTGCCATAACTCTAAACTCAACTTTAGCACTAGATCTAAATATTACATCCTGCTTCTTACTTCTCCAAGTAATGAGATTTGAGCCAAGAAATGTACAATATCCTGATGTAGACCTTCTATGATCTATATCCCCTCCATGATCTGCATTTGTGCATGCTTCAATAATCATTTTTTCCCTCTCTTGAATAGAATGCCTTTTCTCAGAGTGCCCTTCAAATACTCAAGTATTCGACAAACCACTTGTAGATGAGGTTCTTTAGGATCATGCATGAATTGGCTTACCATGCTCACGGCATAAGCAATGCCTAGCCTAACGTGAACAAGATAAATCAATTTTCCAACAAGTCTTTGATAGGATTCCTTATTGACAGGAGGCTCTAGAGGAGGGCTTTTTCTTCAGCTTACCAGGACTTTTTCCTTCCTTACAAAGTCTGTGATTCTTTTCAATTGGAGTGTCCATAAGTTTGCACCCTAATTTTCTTGTTTCAATGAGAAGGTCAAGAATATATTTATGTTGGGATATAAAGATGTCATGTTTAAAATGCGCCACTTCAATGCCCAAGAAATATTTCAACCTCACTAAATCTTTCATTTGAAATTATTTCATCAGTTGACTTCACAGAGATTGAACCCTTCCAAATCATTCCCTGTTATTATGATACCATTGACATAAACAAGTAAAATTGTTACTCCTCTTAAAGAAGAATGATGAACAAAGTGTGATTGCCTTGACTCTGTTTGAACCCTATGCCAACTATGGCCTTTGAAAACCTACCAAACCATGCTTTGGGTGATTGTTTCAAGTTGTACAAAGCCTTTTTTAGCTTGCTAACAATACCAAGAGGAAGATGAGAACCAAACCTAGAGGGAATCTCCATATAAATCTCTTCCTTTAAGTCATCATGTAAGAAGGCATTCTTCACATCAAACTGCAGGAATTCCAAGTCATAGAGGGCTGCTAAAAGTAATAAAATATAGAAAATATTCTTTTTCGCATAAAGAGCAACAGTTTCTTTATAGTCAACCTCATATGTTTGAGTTACCCTTTAATAACGACCCGAGCCTTTTATTTGTCTAAAGAACCATCAAAATTGTATCTGGAGTGAAGATCCACTTACACCCAACAAGCTTCTTTCCCTCTAGTAATGGAACAAGATCCCATGTATTGTTTTCAAGTACGTCCATCTCAACCTTCATTGCCTTAACCCAATTCTCATATGCTAATGCCTCAAATATAGACTGTGGTATTGAGATGGGATGAAGACTAATAAGGAAAGCCTTGTGACTGCAAGACAATTTCTCATAGGAAAGAAATGAAGACATTAGGTATAAGGATTTTCAGTATAATTATGGGTCCCCTTTCTCAGAGCCATAGGTATATCAAAATCAAGTTCTTCAGAATTATTTTTAGATATATCTTGACTATCAAAGACATCATGAGAACTTGAAGGAATTTCAATGTTTTTAGGAAGATCAAGAGTTAGCTCACAATTTTCATGCACGGGTTCAGAAGTTTGAGCGAGAGCCATTTTAGATGATTGGACTTGTATAAGTTGAGATATTCTCTCCTCTTCTTCTGAGTGAAAACCTATTGTGGACGACTAGATTTAGAAGTTGATAGTGCTTCCAAGGTCTCACTAGGTAAGGAATTAGGAAGTTCGTTGACAAAAGGATCATGACCCTAGTCCTTACTAAGAGGGCTCTCTCTTTCAAGAGAGGTATTGAAATAAGAGTTAGATTTGGAAAAAGTGGTATCAACAGACACAAAAAACTTCCTAGAAGGAGGATGATAACCCTTATACCCTTTTTTAGTAGAGGAATACCCAACAAACACACGTTTAAGAGCTCTAGGGTTAAGTTTAGTCTTTTGTTGAGAATGCACATGAACAAAGACCACACATTCGAATATTCTAGGTATAAGACTACTTGATGCATTAAAATTAGGAAAAAATTGGGTCAAAACATTAATAGAACTTTTTGAACAAAGATCAGGGTTGGAAGTCTATTAATCATGTGTATAGCAGTTAAAACAACTTCTCCCCGATATTGCTTAGGCACATTAGTTTGAAACAATAAGGCTCTAGTAACATTAAGAAGATGACTATTTTTCCTCTTAGCCTCCCCATTTTGTTGGGGAGCATTAACACAGGATGATTCATGTAGAATTCCATGTGTATCAACAAATATGGACAATGATTGATTAAATGAGTCTTTTGCATTGTCAGACCTAAACTTTTGTATCCCAACTCCAAATTGAGTTTTAATCATGTTATAAAAGGTAGGAAAAAATAGTACTATCAATATATTTTTGCTTTAGGAAATAAATCCATGTTACGTGGGTGCAATCATTAATAAAGGACACAAGCCATCGAGACCTGGTAACATTAGGGAAACTAGAGGGACCCTAAATATCACTATGAATCAGGCTAAAAGGAATAGAAGTTCTTTTATTACTCAAAGGATATGAAGATAGTTTATCTTTTGCAAACTCGCAAACATCACAATAAAAGGACTCAATAGTTATACCTTTAAACCAAGAAGGAAATATAGCTTTCAAAACATTAAATGAAGGATGACCCAAACAATGATGATAAGGCCAAATCTTGTCTTTTCTAGACTCGGCTCTTTTTGACTGAGAAGAGGAGGTAGCCATCAAGCTTTGAATCTTACTATATTCACTAGACTCATCAAAAAAATAAAATCCATCTCTTTCTTCAGCAAGTCCAATCATTTGATTCGTCTCTTGCTCTTGAAAAAGACAAGTAGAAGAGAATAGGACATAACAATTAGAATTAGTAGTAAGTTTTTTCAGAGATAAGGTGTGTGCATGGTTTAGGAATATGCAAGACATTTTTTAGGAGAAGACTATCACTCAATCTGACATTCCCTTGACCAGCCATAGTAGCTACAGACCCGTCACCTTACATGATTTTTCTAGTACTATGACATGGATTATAAGATATAAAATTCTTGGAGGAATTTGTCAAATGGTTTGAGGCTCCAGAATCCACAATCCAAGGGTGAAAAAAATCTTGTTTTGAGGCAATAAATGAAGATAAAAATAATATAAATGAAGGCTGAAAAGATTTACTTGAGAACCCCAAAGAACATATACTTGTGCCAGAATCAGAAGTAGTTGCCTTGTCAAGTGACTATAGCATAAATCTTAGTTTCTCAATCTCTCCCTTAAGATCAGTCTAACTAGAATTCTCCTTGGTAGAATCAGTAGCCACATGAGCTTGGCCTTTTTTGATATTTGGAGGCTTACCGTACAGCTTCCAGCACTTCTCCTTAGTGTGCCATAGCTTCTTGCAATGAGAGCACCGAAAAGGTTTTTTCTTAAAAGAGTCCCCTTGTTTTTCATTTTTCACAAAATAAGAAGCAACATTCCTTGAAACCAGGGCAAAGCTTTCCACAGATGGAGTTTCCATCATCACTCCTCGACGGCCTTCTTCTGCTAATACAATGGCAATGGTCTCATTGAGAGAGGGAACATCTTTTTGACTAAGAATTTGAACTCTTACAACATCAAATTTTGAATTAAGCCCAGCAAGATACTTAAAAATCTTCTACTTCTCAATGAAGCATTTAAAGGTAGCTATATCATCAGGATCTTTCAAAGTAATATATTGATAGTAGTCTAATTCTTGCCGCAAACTCTTTATAAGGGTAGAGTGTTCAATGACAAATTTGTTGTCCTGTTTGGTATTAGAAATCTTGGTCTGTATCTCATAAATATGGGCAGCACCCTTCACCTTTGAGTAAGTCTGGTGCATCGTATCCTAAATTTCCTTAGCCGAGGATAGAGACAAATACGTGCGACTAACTTTAGGGGCCATAGATTGCCACAGTGAAGACATTACCATTGAGTTAGCTTCTTCTCAAGCATCAAACTTGGGTTCTCCTAGCTTAGGACCAGTCCCAATTAAATGACTAAGCTTCTCTCGGCCCTTAAAAAGTACAAACATATTGAGACCAAGCTAGAAAGTTGGCTCTAGTCAATCGAAAAGTAACCAAAACACTTGGCAGCTCCCCAGAAACCCCCAACAGGGAAGACCCAATATTGTCAGATGTGTTTGTTTCATCAGACATGACTGAAACAAGGAGAGAAGGAGATTCCAAGCAAAATGGAGGTGACTGGAGGCTAAACGGTGCCAAATGCACTTTCACATGCCGAAAACACAACACTAGGTAGATTCAGTCAGGTGGCGTGTGCAGTGGCAGGAGGCTATCGGACTTCTGGGTTCGATTGGTTGGTGGCAAGTGGAGGTGGTGGTCCGGCGCGTGTAGGCTAAATAATGTCCGGCAACAATGAGT